GGCTGCCCCGAGCGCGAGCCGAGGATCCCGGGGGCGAGCTAGGCTGAGCTCTCGCCCCGGATATGGGATAAACTGCAAGAAACGGGGCTCAGTCCCAAGCATGCAATTCCGCGACCCCATGAGCGCCTTCCTCCCCTCGCCTCCCAAACACAGCCCCTTGGGCTGTGCGCTCCCCTTCCAGCCTGGCCCCTTCCCCGGCCCCACTTCCAGGGTGGGGAAAAGCCCCGTATCGAGAGACTGCACCAAGGGGGCTCCTGGCAAACAGCCCCAGAGCCCCAGCAAGCCACGCTGGGCTCCCTCCTGCTGCCGGGAGCCCCCTTCAGACCACAGCCTTCAGGCAGAGCCAGGCGAGTGCCAGCCCCCCGGCAGGGTGGGCAGTCCTGGCCGTGGCCATAGCACCCATGCAGGGACCCCTCTCTCCTGCGAGTGGCCTCACGGCCCCTCTCACAGGATCTTCACGGCCTGCAGCATGTCTGCGAGAACGTAGGAGCTGTCCCAGGGGCGCCCGGGCTGTCGCAGGGCCCCCTCCAGCGCCCGGGCGCGCGTCAGCAGCTCTGCGGCACCCCGCGGCCCCTCGGAGCAGGGCTGGCAGAACAGGATCTCGTTGACCTCCCCGTCGATGCGGCGCGCGTACAGCAGCGGGAAGACCTCCCTGAGGGTGGCCAGGACGGACTCCTTGAGCCGGGCGTCTCGGCACACCAAGTTCAGCACGAAGACTCCTGCAGCAGCAGTGAGAAGCAACAGGGACGCTCAGCGGGGTAGAGGTGACCCAGAGAGCAATAACCCCCCCCGAACCCTCTGCGCCAGCATCCTCCGCTCCTAAACCCTCCTCTGGGTGCTCAGTGCTCTCACGAGGGCTGGGAGACCACCACTTTCGCTGACTCTGGCTCTCACTCAGTTTCAGGCCCCGTGGCTCACACGGGCAGACAAACGGATGAGCAAACATTTGCTAAATGCCAGGAATAACTTGACGTGTGGAAGCCTGCTCCCTCTCTCGCACCAGCCCTTGGCTGCACAACGAGTACCGACATCCCACCAGTGCCCTTGGCCTGGCTCCACGTCCCTGCTACTGTGTGGGCTGTAGGTGGCCACACAATCTGTTCCCAGATACCACCTACACCCTCTGCTTTTCAGCAACCGTAAACCCCAGGGATTTCTCAGCCTGCCTCACCCAGCAGCACTGCAGGCCATCAGTTACACCCCGCTTTCTTTTTCTGCCAAACCACCTTGCTGCCATCACAACATCTGCTAACAAAGCCACGGGATTCTGGGTCTGCTAGGAGCAACGGATGCCTCGCAGCAGTCCTGGCCATGACAATTATTTTGCAGGGTGAAAAACCACGGCACAGCCCCTGAGTGGCAGGACCAGGCCTAGCTGCAGAGCCCCGCTCTCCAGCCCGGGCAATGGGCAGCAGCACCTCTTCCCAACTCAGCACTGACAACAGGGCATAGGCAGCACCAAACCTCCCCTCATACCTTCTGGCTTGAGGATGGTTTTAACTTTCTGCAAGAAAGGCTTTTCCACGAAGGCTGGTGGTGGGCAGCTCATTCCCACCATGAGGTCTTTGCTGTCCACATCAAACATGATGGCATCATATTGGGCTGGAGCTGCAGGAGGGAGAGCAGAGACTCGTTCGCCCTGCAGGACGGGGTGACGAGCCATGCACGCTGCTCACAACGTGATCAGTGGGGAAGCACTGAAGGGGTTGGGCAATACAACCCCTCCTCTGTGTTACAGCCACTTCTCCCTTGTGGGGGGTCTCTCTTTCCAAATGAAACCCAGCACAGCAGGGGCAACAAGCTCAGGGTCCCCTGCACATCTGGGCAAGGACAGGCAGGCTAGCAGCAGAGACCTGGCGAGGCTGGAGCTTGTGACACATGGCAGGAGGTACCAGAGAGACTGTGGCAACATCAGCTGAGACCAGGGCTGGCACAGAGGGACAAAGCAGGGAGCTGCGGAGTGAACGGAGCCCACACAGGAGAGCTGGAGACCTTTTGGAGGGCAGGATGGGAAGCAGAGGATTGAAGAAACCCATTGAGGGAGTGCAGGTGCTATTTCTGAAAAGATTTTGTGCATGTCCCCTGCTTCAGGGACTCCTGCCCTCCACATCCCACCCGCTGTGCTCAGCGGGGACCCTTGGGGTGCTTCACGAAGTGGTACCTTCAGCCGCCAGCTTGGCCACGTAGTCCAGACCATCGGAGACATGCACCTGCATCCGGTCACTCTGGGAGAAGCCAAACCAGCGTGTGGCCACCTCCACCACGGAGGGGTCGATCTCTACCACAGCCACGCGGGCCTGGGAGAAGTAGTCATGGAGGAAGAGGGGCAGGCTGCCCCCACCAAGCCCCACCACCAGCACTGCAAGCGGGTGCTGCCCTGCCAACAGAAAGCACCAGGGTGAACCACCAGGTCAGCCATGCTCAGGCTGCCCGTCCCATCATCTCACCAGGGTGCCCCAGGCCGCTTCTGGCAGGGCACACTGGGCTCCCGCGGCCAGGAAAACCCTTCCTCAGCAAGCTGGGGCTTGCTTCGCCCTTCACCCCTTACAGCTCGAGACATGACATGCCAGGGGCAGAGCATCTCCCTCCCGCTGCCTGGTGCCTGCAACGCTCACGGGGGCTCTGCCACACGCAGGGGAGGTGCCGCGGTCACGTGCAAGGCTGGCACCCTGAGCACCTGTGTCCCGCCAGTGCGTGCGGGGCCACGCGTCACCACCGGCCTCATTACCTGGGAGAGGATCAGGGCTCCCCAGCAGGCAGAGCCCGGCCACCATGGCCTTGTGGTGCTCGCAGCACAGGTAGCTCTTGTCAATGGCTGAGGGCGGCTCAGCAGGGCCAGGTTTCTTCCTGTCCTTCCTCCGTTTCTTCTGGCCTGAATGACAAGCAGCGTCAAGTGGAGAGGAGCCAATGCAGCTGCACCAGCTCGGGACAGGGGTGCTTTCTGGGGACACCCCCCGACTTCTGCCTCAGCGACACAGACGCAAGAGAGAGAAAAGCACTCCCAGAGCTGCCCTGGCACGAGACAGACATCCCAGAAGGACTCTTATCTTCTTCCCTGTATCAAACTCACTCTCTGCCACCCCAAAGCTGCCTTTGTCCGCTGCCTCTTCCCCCAGCCCTTTCCATCTCTCCTACCGTCCTGTTAAGCCCCGCATACCTGGGAGAGGCGCGGGGGCCAAGAGCCGGGCTTCCGACTGCACCACATTCCTGTTGCTGAGGAAGATGAGGCGGCGGAAGTAACACTTGTCATCCCCCTTCACATCCTCCACGACGTACTCCCCGCTCAGGGGGCTGGTGTCACGGTGCTGCACTGTCCGGACCCCGATGTCACCTCCCACGGACAAGAAGGGCACCTGCAAGGAAGACATGGATTCACGCAAAGAAGGAATGGGAAGGCTATGGGAAGGGGCCGTGAAGGTCTCGCCATCCTGCCTGTGGCTAAAGAGCTAGGACAAAGCAGACATGCCTCAGGAGCAGAAGGATGTGCTGCAGGTAGCCACAGGCAGCTAGGTCCAGCACATGGGACACCGAGACTTACCTAGGGTTTCCCCTCTCACGCACGCGTTGGGGCACAAAGTGCCAACACTCAGAGACCTCTTGAAAGAAAGGTTTATGTCTGGGGAGATGGGGCAGGAAGGAAAAGACAGAAGCGATGGAAAAGTTACAGACAAGATTCTCAGCAAGGGGCACAGAAGCTCTGAGGGTTTCAGCGTGCCTGCTTTTTGAGGATGCATGGGTTTCAGGGGGCAAGGACTTCACACTGAATCCTGCCACACAGGCACCTGAAATCCTCCCTCCAAGCAAAGAGCGTTGACTGGAATGGGGAAGAGAGAAAAAGCAAGAGTAGCTACGCTTGAGGCCAGTCTCCTCCCCACCACCGCAGCCAGCTCACGCTTTGCAAGTCCGTCTCTCTCACAGAAGAAGGACCTGCTGCTGGTGGAAAGCTGGAGGCACTGCCAGCCAGCCAGGCGCCGCTTTCGGGGAAGCCGAGCGAGGGGGCCGGGTGGGGGAGCTCACCTGCTGCCGGGCAGGAAGGCCCGGCGGCGCCAGCTCCATCACCTTCCCCGACAGCTCGGCCTGGATGCCCGCCATGCCCTCGTAGTGCTGCTCTCTGTGCAGAGCCACGGTGACGAGGCGCCTGAACCCCGCGCTGGCGGCCAGCTGCCTCCGCCCTTCCTCCGTCCCAAAGAGCCACTCGGTTTCTCTGCCCTGCGGGACTGAAAGGGGGCTGCGGTCAGCTGAGCCTGGGGTGGATCCCAGCCCCAAAGCGACCACCTCGACCTCCGGGACAGCAACCACGGGGGAAAGGCGAGACGTCACGATGACGTACTGCTGTGTGACTTTTGACAAGGCTGCTCTGCATCTAGACCTAAGCTCTATCACCGAGGGGCCAGAAGCACCCCAGTTTTGGGCAGGTTGATACAGGAGGCGGGAAAGGCCACGTCTCACGTTAGAGGGGTGCCCGACAACCCCACTCCTTGTCTGCAGAGTTTGCCAAGCCCTGGGCTTCGCAGGCACGCCAGCCACTGCTGGCGGAGGCTGACACGTCTCTGCAAGCACCAAGCCAAGAGACTGGTGGGACTCTCCATTCCCTACAGGTGGGTCAACAGCTTTGCAGATATGCTGAGCCCCAGAGGGTCACGCAAAGCCAGATGGGGACCCTCAAAATTCACAGGGATGTGGGAGCGGATGGCGGCACTCTCACCACAGGCGGTCAGAGATGCTAAACCCTGCCAGGCTGGAGCTGGTGTCTCTAGCGTGAACAACCCCGAGCGGCCGTGCAGGCAAGCAGCTTGGGTCAGCACATCACACGAGCTCAGCACTGGCTTCCCTAGACCCGGCAGGCCCATTGCCCCCAGCGCTACCGGCGCTCAACAACACAGAGGTGCTCCTGGGTCCAAGCAGGCCCCACGCGCCTACCCTACGTGCCTGGCGGTGACACCGGAAACGGAGAGCAAAAACATCCCACCGGCCTGGGAAGGCCGGCCCTGCTGCAGAAGCCACGGGCCCCGCATGAGCAGGGGCTTCTCGTTGGCCAACACAGCCTTGGCCTGCCCCCCTGCCCTTGTTCTAGCTGCAGACGTCTAAGCAAAGACGAAGCAGATCCCCCCCAGTTCCCAGCAAACAGCCAAGGTACTGAGGTTAAGCAACTTGCCTAGGAGCACACAGCAGAACTCCAGCGAGCTGCCCACACAGCAAAGCCAGCTGGGCAAGGGATAAATCCACCTTGCTAGCGTCAAAACCAGGCCTCCCACGGATCACAGGCTGTAAGAACAAACGCAAAGCAAAGCAAAGCTTCCCTTCTGCTGCACACCAGCGGCTCCACGCTCGGGGCAGGGGGAGGCCGGGAAGCCAGGCGAGGACGGCTGCGCAAGCTGGCAGCACCTTTCGAATTGCTCCTGCTGCGCTCTCGGTCTATGCGGCAACACGCCAAGGTGGCTGTCGCTAGCATCAATGCAAGAAACGCGAGTATCACAGTGCCCCCGGGGTGCACAGACAGTGGCCACCTCGGAGAGCTGAGGCAGCGCAGGCAGTGTCCGTCTGCTGCCGGACAGGCATCCTCCCAGCCCACAAGCTCGGCGCTGCTCTGGGACTGAGCTCTGCCTGCTGCACAATCGTGCACTGTGTGTCCCACTGCAAAGCTGGGATTAAAACACTGACCAAACCCCACAAAGGCAGGTTATTCCCCTCTCCTGCTCCTGTTTCAGCAGGGCCAGGACTGCTGCCCGTTTTGCAGCTCCTGACCAGAGCAACGTCTCCTCGCAGGCGCGAGAAGCTGAACTCACTGATGAAGATGGCAAAGTGATTGTCCCGGGACGGTTTCATCGAGGGGCTGTCGACCACGTGCAGGGTGTAGCGAGGCCTCCCACTATCCTTGCTGCACAGATCCAGGGAAAGCTGCTCCCCGCTGGTGGTTTTGCTCAGCTGGCTGCGGAGCAAGGCGTAATGCTGCCTGTCCTTCACCGCCTCCACCAGTTGCTCCGCGCTCTCCACCCGCATCGGCTTATCCTGCTCCTCAGGGCAGATCTCCAAGATTTGTGGTGCCGAACCAGGGACCTTTTTAAACTTAGTCATGACGTAGACAAAGATAGGTAGGACAAACTGCTGCTTGTCCCCACCGCTGGCGGCCTGATGGACACGCACTACCCAGCCTTCCTGGGAGAAGTATTCCACTGCCTTCTTCAGCACGTGGGCTTGGGCCAAGGAGACGCAGAGGTAGCGCCCTCCTACCTGCAGGACACGGCTGATCTCGGCAAACATCCTGTCCACCTTGGCTAGAGTGGCCTCCTCTTCATCAGCGAGGATGGCATCGAGCGTGCCTTTGTCCAAGACCACTTGGAAGAGGGCGTCGGGGAAGTCCATCTGAAGCACGTCCATGAGCAGGTAGCTCATCTTCGGCCTCTTGCTCGCGTTCCGTTCTTGCATCTGGCGGATGACCGCGTCGCTGATGTCGATGTTCACGATGTCCTCGCACATCCCCATGTCGTACATCTGCTCGCTCAGCTCCGAGTTTCCGCAGCCGACCACGAGAACCTGGGAAGCGGGACAAGAGCGGCAGCGACGGTGAGAACGCCCTGGAAACGCGGGCCGCCCTGAAGCGTTTTACAAGCAAACGCCATAGAGATCAGCCACAGCCACACGCCCCCAGTGAAAAACGCACCGGGACTGCCTTCAAGTGCAAGGCAACGCTTCCACAGAGAAAATTCACGTGGGTGCAGAAGCGAAGCGTTTGTGTCACGTTTCCTTCTTGGGAGTACGCGGGCGTTTTCACCCATAGAGCTCCCTATAGCAGGGCGACATATGGGTCCGTCCTGCTCTCCTCTTACCGCGAACGGCTTCGCGTCTTTTGGGACGAGAGCTCACGCCGCCGAGGGCACCGAGGGCCCTGGGCAGCCTCTCGCCTCCTGCCCTCCGCGAGCCAGGGCGCC